TTGAAACATGATTTTCTCATGTTTCTTGAAGCAACTAGAATCTTCGGGCTCCTTTTGTGTACAAATAATCACTGAACTTGACATCAGTTGGAATAGCCAACTGGTAAGAAGTTTTGAAGGATCACATGCATAAGCAATACAAATAATTGGAAAAGGCAAGAAGTATCCAGATTACAATTTCCTTCTTTCCCAATAAACTTTAGTTGGTTTCTCTACCAACAATATTTATTGATTTTATCTGTGTTTTTGCACATTATATTGTATTGTGTATAAATTGCAAAGATATTGTTCTCAGAATTATTCTATTTCACATGTATTCATAATAAATGACTGTCTTTTGCAGTCAACTATGCAAGTACCTTGAGAACAAGAAAAACACTATTGTTTCTGACCCCATTTATGTGTTTGAACTCAATGTAAGAAGGCAATACTCTGCTGACTGTCATCTACTATTTGTACTAATTTGTTCTTGGGCCTCTGACTAACTTTTGTGAGATCAGACAAAGATGCAACAGAGATTGACTTGTTTTGTGAATATGCATATTGTCGTGGGGGCCTGTTAATCATCACTTGTATCATTAACTCATCTAATTAACTCCTTCAATCATTTTTATTGCAAAATTCGAGTTTTAACTATGGCTTTCAAAATAACACATGCATTTAATAATATTGTAGGGTTAAGAAGCTAGAATTTGTATATGGAGAGGCTAAAAGTTTGTTTTTTCTTTAATGATGTATGTATTTATTTGAAAGGCAGAGTGACAGAGAGAAAAGCAGAAAAGAGAGATTTTCCATCTGCTGGTTCACCTTCCAGGTATCCATACCAGGCAGTGCAACACCAGACTTGAGGTGGACGCTAGGAAGTCTCTCCATGTCCCCCACTTCGGTGCCTGGGATCCACATACTTGTGCCATCTACTGCCTCCAGGTACATTAACAAGCAGGTGGATTAAGAACATGCAGCGGGGACTGACACTGGCACTCTGATATGGGAAGTGAGCAGGCCAAGGTCTGACATAACCTGCCGTGCAATTATAACACCTGCCCCTGAGATGTGGACCTTGTATGTTATCCACTGATTCTGCTTCCTGCTGTTACTATCCACTGTCTTCCTAAATGCCTATAAACCATGGAGAAACCTCAACATCTTGAAAACAACCTCACTTCTGCCCCTTCCTACTTTTCTTATTCCTGGTCATTTTCATTCTTTCCTCCCCATCCATGGGTGATTTTTAGCATCCTGAAAACCCAGTTCTGTTTTATTTATTTCCCTTTAATGGATACCTTTAACCGAACTCAAGTCATATGATTCTGCAGTGTCACTGGCCCTTAAATTTGTCTGTTCCTTTCTGTTCTCACTACTTTCACCCTTTCTGTGATTTTTACACCACAGCTGAACTTCATTACTGTTCCTGATTCCCTAGTTTAAGGACGTCATTTTTAGACAAGTTAGCATATCTTCACTGTTGTACTTGAGCCCATATTTCTCAAATTCCTGTCAGGTTTTCTCACTGACTCGCATATAAGTATGGTATTCTCTTCTGTTTTACTTTTTTAATGATTTGTTTCATCTTTTTATTAGAAACATAGATCTACAAGAGAAGGAGATAAAGAGAAAGACCTTCTGTCCCCTTGTTTGGTGCACTCCCCAAAATGGCTGCAAAAGTCAGAGCTGAGCAGATTGGAAGCCAGGAGCCAGAAGCTTCTTCTGGGTCTCACACATAGGTGCCGGGTCCCAAGGCTTTGGGCGAGCCTCTCCCGCTTTCCCAAACCTCAAGTAGGAAGCTGGATGGGAAGTGGGGAAGCCAGAGCATGAACAGTGTCCATATGGGATCCAGGCTCATGCAAGGAAACGACTTAGCCACTAAGGTATTGTGTCAGGCCCTATAGGAATCCTTTATTATGAGCTTGCCACATATCAGGAGCTGGGATGTTTTACACACACAATTTCTAACTCTTCATTTTTATAGTATTCTTAAATTACAAGTAATATCGTAGTGGTTGGTACTGCGGCATAGCAAGTTAAAGTGTTGCCTACAGTATTGACATCCCATACAGGTAATGGTTCAAATTCTGGCTGCTTCATTTCTGATCCAATTCGTTGCAAATGGCTTGTGAAAGCAGTGAAAGATAGCCCAGGTGTTTGGGTCCCTGTGCCCATGGGGGTGTCCTGGAAGAAGCTGCTGGTGTCCAGTTTAGGCCTGGCCCAACCATGTGGTTATTTGGGTAGTGAACCACCAGATAGAAATTCTTTCTTTTGCTCTCCTTTCAAATATATAAAATAAATCTTAAAAAACATAATATTGTGAGAACACTTTTCCAAACTTAATGTCAATCCTTACTTTCCACCACAATTGTGTATGCTCATGGCCAAATCTGACAAATGACGTACATCATCCAGTAACTTAGTTTCACTTTCTCCACTTTAGTATTCATTTGACATTTTTTTGTATTTCACTTTTATTCTCTTCTTGTCTGCTCATCAGTTGGGAATCAATCCAAATCATACCAGTTCTGCAATGTCGTGTCGACATTTCTTGTCGTCCCTGTGGGTTCTTTATAGATGAGATCGGTTTTACCCATTCCCACATGGACCGAGGATGGAAAGCTTGGTGTAGTGACCTCATTTGGTTCTCCTGTTTACTTACACTTGTCTCTGTTTTTCGTTTTTAGTAAGTAGCTAATATATATTCCTATCTCCTTGTGATTTTACTTGACTTAATCATATATGCAATAATCTTAATAAAATTAGACTTGTCACAGGCCCATTTTTTGGTTTTAGTCTGTGCCCATGCTATTCACGAGCAGCCCCTCCTGATCTTGCTCTGACCCATTACTTACCATTGTGCTCATCGGGGGGAATGAGCAAGCAGATCAAAGATGTATCCTTCTTTTTCATTCCTTCTCTCTGTATAACTCTCTTTCAAAAATTCATTTTTTTAAATAGATAGCCACAGTAAATATTTTTAAAGTGTTATGTTTACTTATTTTTTTAATATATATTTTTATTGGAAAGCTAATACTGATTTACAGAGAGAGAGAGACAGATCTTCCATCTGCTGTTTTACTCCCAGAACGGCCATAATGGCCTGAGCTGAACTGAACTGAAACCAGGAGCCAGGAACTACTTCTGTGTCTTCCACATTGGCGTGTGGTCCCAAGACTTTAGGCCATCCTTTACTACTTTCCCAGGTAATAAATAGGTAGCTAAATGGGAAGTGGAGCAGCCAGAACAGAAGTCGGTGCCTACAAATGATCCTGACAATTGCAAGGTCAGGATTGAGCCATTGAGCCATTGTGTCAAGCCCATTTACAAATTATTATTTTTTGAGATTTTTTAAATTGGAAAGGCAGATATCTAGAGAGAAGGGTAGCAAGAGAGATAAAGATCTTCTGACCATTGATTCACTCCCCATGTTGCTGCAATCAAGTCATTCTGAAGTCAGCAGCTTTGCCCAGGTCTCACACATGGGTGCAGGGTCCCAAGGCTTTGAACCAACCTCTACCACTTTGCCAGGCCATGCATTTGGAGCTGGATGGGAAGTGGAGAAGCCAGAACATGAACCAGCGTCCATATGGGAACCTGATGGATGCAAGGCAAGGATGCAGCACTTCTCTGCATTGGTTTCACACTCTCAATGTCTGCAACACTGAGAAGTAGCAACTTCATCAGCTGTCCCGTGGGGGTGACAGGAACCAGGAGCGTGGGCCATGTTGTTGCTGCCTCCAGGCACTTGAGATGAGGATCACAGCGTGGCACAGAGCAGCTGGGACTCTCAGTTTCTGATAGGGGATGCAGGCACTCCAGGCAGCAGCTTAACCTGCTGTGTCACCATGCCCAGAACTATTTTTGAAGGCTGGAAAAAAAAAAAAAAAACAGCAGCAAATGAGACCCCACACAGAGTACAAAAATGAAATGAGTCAAATAATTGGATGTCAAAAATGAAGAACAGATTTACACGGATACTAGAAGTGAGAGGCAGACTGTCAGAAACAGAAGGCAAACATTAAACGTGTGGAACCAGACACTGTTACATTCTTTGGAAGAAAGCAAACCACAAATATCAGAGTTTCCAGTCTGGAAGGTGAGCTTGTTATTAACCTGGCATTAACTTTCACTTCTCTGCCTGTGGCTGTTGCTCCATGGTGTCAACATCTAGACTGCACTCAGGTTTAAATCAGCCCGTTCATCAGGGCCTAACTCCAATCCCAACAGTTTAGCATTCTCCCCAAGTGTTTCATGCAGGACTAAGCAGCCATAAAAGTCGTTTATAAGGGTCAATTCCACTTCGTGCTAGTTTAAATAGCATGCCTGAAGCTTTGAATTTCCCATTATTCCTAATTCCATTCTTGTACTAGGCTGCAGTGTAAGTTTGCTCAAAACTGGACTTATCCTGAAGATACGGAATGTACAAGTCACTGACGTGCAGGAAAGGGAAAACTGCTTTTTTTTTTTTATCGCTGCATTTTCTGATAAAACCCAAATGATTTCTCCTTTCGCAACATCGCTCCGCACAACTCCTCCTGGAGGGATCCACTTTCCACACCGACGACCCCAATTTAAAGAAGCCCTTTTCATGCCAAGGCAGTACCAGGTACCAAATCTTTGGTGACATTTGTTTCATGTAAACATAGAAAGCGCGGGACCACTTCTCATTCCATTTTCCTACACCCCATCTTTTCCAAGCCTGAGAAGGTTCAGGTTATTGGGCTGGGGTTTGTACCGGATTGCAGTTGGAATGACCTACCCCAGGAGGTATCCGCCCCTCTCCCGAGGGAGGTACTAACTTCACGTTCTTAAGCCAGGGAAGCCGGCCCCAGGGACCACCACCCTGCTGCGCCGCATTTTCCCCTGGCCTCCCAGGTGAGAGTTGCCCTCTGGCAGGTACCCAATCCAGGAGCCAGAACTCGGAATTGCCCCCTTCGCCACGCGGTCGGGATGGAAAGAATGGCTTTTTAAATACTTAGCTGGGAGAGGGCTGGATTTTTTTTTTTTTTTTTTTGAGTTGATTTAGGCTCTGAAGCACGTTCTGGCTGTACAGGGCTCGGGAGTGACAAGACTTGGGACCTGCCGCAACTCGTCCCAGCACCTAGTTTCCCGGGAGGCGCGGTCCCGGCAGGAGTCAGCTTCCCTCCGCGGCCCTGACGCCCGGCAGGTAACTCCCTCCCCGGCCTCGCCCCGCCGCTTCCTGGGAGGCGAACCGAGGGCGCGGTGCGGCTGGGCGCGCGGCTCGGGCGCAGTAAGTGGGGCTCGGGCGCGGGTCGCGGGGTCCCGGGGCTGGGAGCGTGCGCGGGGGGCGCCCAGGGCGGCTCTCCCGGCGTTCTGGTACTTGGAGAGTTGGAAGTTGGGAGTTGGGACGTTGGGGGCGGGCTGGGATCAGATTCCTGAGGACTGGCGCCGCCCACCGCGGACCTTGGAGCGCGGGCCCGGGTTTCAGGCAGAGGGGCGGGAGGAGAGGGTCCCGGGAGCCCCCGTGGGGAGGAAGATGGGCGTGGAAGCGGCTGTGTGCGTGGAGCGCCTGCCAAGAGCCCCCGTGGGAGGGCGTGAAGGGGAAAAGGAGGGGGGCGTGGATCCTGGGATGTGGAGCCGGGAGCAGAAATGGAAACAAATTTCCCACCTCAGACTTGTGGGTGGACTAGGATCTAGTTTCTGTCTTGGGTAGAAGCGCGTGCTGTGACCAGACTTGGGTGGTCTGGAGCGGCTGCGTGTCCTCCTGGCTCCTGAGGGTGATTCCGGTGCAGGCTGTGTTTTGAGAACTACTATTTAGTGTGGTTCCCTGAAGAGGAGGGCGTGACGGGTGGGGGGACTGCTCCCAGACGGGAACCTGGAGGCTCTAGGCCTATTGTGTGGGCCGTCCGGGGGACTTACTACCTACACCTGTTGGGGCAAGGAGCCAGAGGCCGTGCTTGTGCTTGTGACTGGAATCCCGAGTATGAAAAGAGACAGCCTAATCTTTGTAAGGAAAGGAGCAGACGGGAAGATTGTGGGAACCCAGCCTGTTGTTTACTCTTGGGGAGATAGGGCGATAGGTGATCACGTCTGGGACCTGGAAGTGGAACTGAGCGACCCAGCAGCCAGACACTGAGAAGCAGCCACGCCAGAGGCCAGCAGTTAGGGCTGGATTATAATGCTCCTTTCCAAAGTCTCCGTGCTGAAGGTCTTGCCAGTTGACGTGCAGGCACCTCCCTTCTTTTCCCTTTCTCAAGCCAGCAAGTCCAAGAGCCCCAGGGAAATCTCTGCGTGGGGCTGAATCAGTGCTGACTGAGAGTAGGACAGGGGATGGTGTTGAAACCCAGTTGGAAGGGAAAGCTTGTTTTTCGGTTTGTCCAAGTAAGTAAAGAATGAGAACGGTGCGAAGCAGAGTGAAGGCAAGGGTGTAGGATTTTGTGTTGCCTTGAGCTGTGGTCTGTTTCCCAGAGTGGTAGAAGTCCCCACACTCCACATCGCCGGGTTGTAGACTTGACTCCCTTGCTTTTAAGGGCACGGGCACACACGGTGTATACACCCACTGGAGGTGGTGACTGCACCCTGCGGAGCCTGCCTGAGGGGCTGGGTGGATCTCAACCTGAAAACTGGCAGGCTCTAGCCCACAGATGGGCAGCATGTATTGTGGGAAGCTTCGCCAATTGAACAGTTGTTGAAAAGGATTGCGTAGATGGAGCGCAGCCACACCTCTGGTGCTGACTCAGTGATGTCTCTTGCGATTAGACTCTTGAGATTATTACTTTATAATGTATGAAACGACTGAGATGAATTGATTTTATTATTCTTTCCTTTATATTCCCTCCTGCTACAACAATCCCCTTGCAGGTTATGAAGGGCGCTCATTCATTGAGTATGTGTTTGACTTTTTCAACGCAAGAGCTTACTTTTTTTCTCACTCAGTTACATTATTCAATTTGAAGTTTCTAAGAAGGGAGGCTGCTGTACTTCTAAGTCTGTTCTAAGAGTGTTGGGGTGAAATTAATTCCAGTCAGGATGGTCCCTTCTCAAACCCAGCTCTGCTTGGAGGAGATCCTTGGAAAAGACTCCAGTTAGTTTAACTAATTATATATAAAATTACAAGTTGTCCTTGTTTAGCTAGTTGGGTAAGTTTGCACGTCTGTCACTTTGCAACTTGGAAAGTGGAGTTGTCCCAGGAGTGTTTCACAATTCAATCTGTTAAATGCGCTGTAGCTGTTAATTCTGATATATGCTTTTGTTTATTTAATACCTTGTCTGGGAGCAGGGTGTATTTTAGAATTTTATTGGTGAAGTTTTCCTCTGCAAATCCAAGTATCTCCCCATTCCCAAGGGAACCTGTTTTGAATGACCATTATTCGCAGCCCTGCTTTTAGGATGCCATGATGAAATCTTGAATACATTGCGTTTAATTCCATGAAGAATGAAGGTCACCAACATTTCCCTAAGAAAATATACTGGAGCCTCCTGAAAGAGCTTGCTTCTTCTGGAGACATGATGGAGACGCACAGGCAGGTTGAGTGTTCTGGGCTGCTGAGCTAGAAGCTGGGGAAAGCACTTGGCTCCATGAAAGGGTCTGCTTGAAAGTATTCGGATTTTTTTGTATTCTTGGAGTGGAGGTGGTGATGGGGCAGGATGCATTGAATCAGCATGCTGACATCTTACAGGGGCGTCAGGGGTACAGGGCTCAGGAAACAAACAATGTCTTCAGCCATCATGTGCTGCTCTGAGGAGGAGGAGCCTGGGTGGAGAGATGATTCAGCTAGGAGTGATATTCATGAGGCACATCTGTGTTGGGAAGAACTTACATCACATGATCATGAATGATACAAGGAAACCTTTCTTCTGGGAACACCTGATTACTAGGCAGTTGATGCTTTGTGGGGCCTGATGCCCCTAAAGGCATATGACATTTATCTTTTGAGTTAAGAGTTGAATAATTTGTAGTTCACCCATCCTCAGGGGCGGTAAAGTATAATGATCAGCCCCTTGAATACTGGTATAGGTCACCATGTCAGTGTCAGGAACCTTTTTAAAAGAGTTTGTACAAAACATACAGTAATGATGACACCTAATGACTATCACTTGGTGTTCTTTCACACCATCACCTATTAACATACTTGTATTGACCATTTGTGCAAAATTATATTATCTATTTTTTCTGATTCTAGTGAAGCTTACAGTTTAGGAGGCTATTGATATTGATAAATACTGAGAACTAAATGAATCAGAGCCATTGCTTTGGAATTTCCTTCACCTTCTCTGAAGGGCTCAGCGGATGCTGGGGTGTTCACTGACTCTGAACGTGAACCTGAGCTGATCTGGGTTAGCTATGACTTGGGGGAAAGTACTTACATTCTATTGGCCTCTCAGGTTTTAACTGACTTTGTGAAAGATAAGTTCTCCTGGGGCTACCACTGAGAAGCTCATGATTTCCACGGCTTTTGTCAGATTTTCATTTCGGAAAGTGTAAGTTCTCCATTTCAAATCGAGTTGCTTCTCTGATTATATAAACATTATTCACATGGGGAAGAAAACGCAGTTTTTAAAGCAATACGTGGCGTCTTCCACCTCTGCAATGACATGGAATCATTCGACATGGGCTGCTTTGGCTATCATTTATATGCACGCGCAAGGAACGGTTGCTTTCAAACTTTCAGCACATGTCCGAACACTTCATTTCATCTGACTTATACAGCAGCTGTTTCCTCATTAGAAAATATTTTCTTCCAGTAGATACAACTGTTAATATTTGTTGGAGTAATGTAGAGTGCCGCTGAGTGATGTTTAGTTATTATTGGTTGTGCTGCCCTCAGGTTCTTTCTTCACTCTCAGCTTTCTTTCCTTTCTTGTTTTCTTGTTCCACATTACTCGCCTTCATCTCTTCCTCTTTGCTTCTCCTCTCCTTTTTTTTCTTATTTCTTCACTTCTGTTTTGATGTCTTACTTTCTTTTCAAACCTGCCTTTCATGTTTTTTTTTTTTCCTTTAATTTCCCACTTCATGCGTATTTCTACATCTGTTCACGTGTTTAGTTACAGCTTTCTTATCTGTTTTTCCTATGAGTACAGTTCTCCAGTCTGGTACATCCTGTTTCTAAGAATCCATAAAAGTAAGATTATTTGATAGTAAAATAATAAGTATGGACTGGCATCATGACTCAGATGATTCAGCTGCTGCTTCAGACACTGGTATTCCATTTTGGAGTTCTGGTTCAAATCCTGGCTGATTAGGTCCCTACAAATGTGACTGGGAAAGCAGTGCAATGTGATCCAGGTACCTGTACTCTTGCCATCTATGTGGGAAATAAAGATGGGGTTCCAGACTCCTGGCTTCAGTCTGGCCCAGACTTGTCTGTTGTGGCCATTTGGGGAGTGAGTCAGCATGTGGAACACACCATTCTCTGTCTCTGTCTGCTTAGGTATCTCCTGCTCTGTCATTCAGATTTTTAAATAAACAAATAGATCTGTAAAATACATAAATATGACATTGTAAATATTGTTCCCTATAGATAAAATAGGTTATGAATAAAACTGGCAATTCATTTGAATGCTAAGTACAATGTTTAATATCGCATTTCTACCATTTTATTTATCTAAAAATCATGTTTTTTCCTTCACAATGGAGTAAGTGTACAATGATGGACTGTTTAAAACTCAATGTTGACTTCTTTTGTCATGCCCAGTGGTTTCAATTTGTGCTTCAACAGTAGTCAACATATTATGTAAATGTGTGATCACTAAAGTCAGGACTTTTCATTTTTTGATTTTCAAAGTTCATTGCTTTAAGATATTCAAATTGCATGCAACAAAGACAATAAAATGACACAAGAAGTAGCATTGCATGATATTCTGACAGCTCTAAGTTGAAATATTGGTAATGGTTGGGTGAAGACTGTTATTATCAAAGGGAGGTTATTTTGAGTGTCAGTATTGGATGTAGAAAAGCACAAGCTGTTCAAAGGTCAAAAGAACTGAGCAGGAAACCACTGATGCATATAGTTTAACGTGATAACAATTTTTAAAAACTCAATAAAAAAATGACCCTGGTGAAAATTACAATTATAAGTATACCAGGTCTGTGTTAATGTCAGGCAGAAATGATCAGTTCACATACATCGAAATAACACACAGAAGTACTTTGTTGAAAAAGTTCTTATTTGTGTATTATTAGTCCAATTCATGTATGCTTAGATC